GCAATAACTGATGTGGTTCGGTTCCTTCCTGCTTAACTCGGTTCAATTGTGCATACGTAGCTTGCACTTCCGATTAACCCCGAACGAAGGTCCCATGGGCTCGGAAAATATGCACAAAGATTCCGTTCCACGTGCGGCTCCGTAAGGCCCTTTTCACGAGTAGATGAGAGCTCTCAAACTGGCACTCATTCTTAAACTCGTCGGTCAATTTTGGACAAAATTCTTTGAAAATATCAAGATTTGATCTAAAATGTGTTCGAAATAAACCAGCTTCCTTCAAAAATTGTCACATTAGCCCTGGATAGACGATCAAATTCCGAACCAATTCCGATCAAAGTAGACATGCTGATGACTGGTGGTCACCATCTACCATCAAATTTTGACGGGCCGCACTTTTTTGTTCAACGTAAGATCAGAACGGAGTGCCACCACTCATCATTTCCTGCCACAGGAATCATTTCTGCCAAGTTTTCATTTTAAAATGAAGCAAATTAACGAGTTTAAGACTGATGACTCCCCACACTTTGATGCTACTTTGATCGGAATTGGTTCGGGAATTTGATCGTCTATCCAGGGCTATTGACGAGGTTTGAAAGGCAACAGTCAACAATAACACCGATGAGCCTCTCCGAAGCCTCCAGTTTTCCCATGAAAAGAGCCTTCAGCATGCAACATCAGTGCGGAACATGTGAAAAGCTGGCCGTAAGACCTAAATACTCCGCTCCGGCGCACAGTGATTCGAGTCAATTAGAGAGTTCGGACATGAAATTTTTGACTAAAACCGCAAATTTTAATGTTTACTTCGTAATATTTTCGATTTCAAGAGGTGTTTCAGAAGGAAAATTTCACGAGAAAACCGATGAAACCACTTTTAGAACCTCAAAGTTTCGTATAAACGGAGTTGCGAGCGTTCAAAGTTTCGAAATTCTGTCCGAGCTCTCTGATCGACTCGATCCAGCGTCCGTCCGGGCGATCGGGGATCCGCTATTATTACGTGGCGCCGAAGCCCGATAAGTGAGGCATCGGTTGTCGCCGATGTTACATCACATCCGAGTTCGCGGATGCCCAGCCTCAACGTTGCGAACACCGAACAGGTGGCCGTAAATCAAACACCCGAGTGCTGAGCATCACGCGAGATGACAAGAGCAGAAGCACTCTCCGCTCCCGTGACCGCCAATCTTATGCACACTACTTAATACAGGGTGATCAAAAAGTATCGAACTACCTCAATACCAGGGTGTCTAGGGTTTTTTTCATGTTGGGAAATCTTGATGAAATCCTGAGTTTTCCTGAGTTTTGACTGCCAAATCATGATTTCATAATTTATCCAAATCCTGATCAAATCTTGACTTAACGCAAGGCGAATGTAACTTCACAAAAATAGCTCGATTAAAAAATTCGATCGAACGGCCGACTTTTCTCAAATCCTGATGAAATCGGGATTAAATCCTGATCGATCTCAAATCCTGATAGATTCGGGAAAATCGGGAAAATCCTGATGCTGGACACCCTGCATACTGTCAATGGACCACTAGACAAGGTACGAATTTAAGCGATCTGATACATGTTTCTTAACCAAAATTTCACGTAAAAAACGATTCACACAACGAAAATTACGGAAACCAACTCCTAACGAAGATATTAACGTTTTTATTTCACATTTGTTACGAGGAATTTGAACTGCCCGCTCACAAGAAACTCAAAACTCTACGTGAGTCAAATCGCCCACTACAACGGTTTCAGCAAGCTTCTCAATCGAGCAATGTTCATTTCCCATCATGTATTGTTCAAACTATTAGCAATTTGCTATAACTGAGCCAAAACGTCAAGATTGAGGTTGCCAGATTTTTATATCGCAAAGACTGTCATGATAACGTTTAGCGCGCGATGTGAATCACGTAGAGCATTGAGTTTTCATGAGCGGGTGGTTTGAATTCACTCATTAAGAATCATTAAATATCTTCGTAAGGAGTTAATTTCGGTAATTTTCGTTGTGAGCATCGTGTTTTACGTAAAATTTTGGTTAAGAAACATGTATCAGAATGCTGAAATTCGTACCTTATCTAGTGGTCCACTGTCTTCTGTGCTGCGGAAAAACGCCGAATGACCACCCGAACAATGCCGAATTCATCCACAGAAAAAAAAACTATTTTTTGGACCGCCTTTATCAGAAAGGAACCAAGCCACATTAGCTATTATTGCCAAATTTCACTGGGCAATTTCGTTTTCTACAAGAGAACGTTAGTGCGGATCCCTTTGAAAATTTGAGGGAATTTGCTTTGCACTAGTAGAAAAATTCACTGGAATTTGCACAAAAATCTGCAGTACCGTTTTCATGTAAAAATTGAAAATGTCCGACTAAATTTGGCAATAGCTGATGTGGCTCGGTTCCTTTCTGCTTAACGCAGTCCCATTAAGATAAGTCCGTTCGTTCTCTCCCAATAAAGGTACTCAAGTCTCTGTCTCATTGCTACAAAGTTATAGGGGCAATGGCACTGTTCTGTTCGTGTAGGACTTTTGAATCATCCTATATTCAACAACAGTCAAAACCTATGTCTCTGCTTGGCGGCCGGCGGGATGATTAAGTGACTGCGTCGTTGAATGAGTCCACTACGAAATAATGTAGAGACGCAGTGGCGAATCATTGCGTTGTGTCTGAGCTTTTTCTCTGGAATTCCCCTACCAATAGAGTGATTTAGTAGCTACGTCATTTTTGCGATATTCAACGTATCGAGATTCGATGGTTCCAAACAAAACACTAGATCTGGTCGGATCCAGAGGCGAGGCATGAATGAGCGATTATCGATATTTTCCCATTTGGAGCTACGGTAAAGAATCGATTATTAAGGTGTTCGTTGCGAACGCCCTCTTCATCGATCCTTTTTTGTAGGTTTAAATGACAGATCAATCGATACATTGCAAAGAGCACCACACCACTGGTCGGATCCGTGCCGATGCTAGGCGCGTGAAAGTTTGGACCCAGCATTCCCAGCAGATAGAACAAGTCATATGTCTAGTGGTCCATTACTTAGTATCCAAGGGTTAAGATTTACAAAAGCACCTTTCAATTGGACTACATTTTGCAATAATTAGGAACTACTATTTTTGGCGAATCGACGCTTATGTGCGTAGGGAAACAAAAAGTACATACGTTGTTTCTAAACTGAGCCTGATATAGTAGTTACTAATTGCAAAACGCACCCTGGTAAAAATTGGCAGTATAGAATGTGTGTTCCAAAATACTATAGACCTAAAGACGGATGTAAGATTTCCAATAGCTTCTGTAGCCGGCTGTACAATTTCTTGTAGCCTTTTATAGCCGATGGCGACTAAGCAACAGCCAGACGATAAAGTTTATGCTAAACGTTACTAATTACGATACTAGGACTTAGTTAGTTTTTGGACTACCGCTCCCTTTTTGTGCCGTAGTATCTTGATTTATTTTGCGAGGAAAGCTCCGTACTTTTGAAAGATGCCTGTCATTCTTAATATGTTGGAGCGCCTTCAATTTCTAATGATACTGTGCAGTACCTCTGGTGTGAAATAGTTGCTTCAGACGCCGTGGCACGCTGCGGCGCGGCGGGCGGGCAGCCAGCTCGAAACGCGCATTGGCGCCTACAAACCTAACAGGGATACTTCACGCATTGCGCAATGCGTGAAGTATCTCTGTTAGGTTTGTAGGCGCCAGTGCGTCGCCGCTCCGCTTTGTGTTAGGTTCTAATATTTAATCTAGCAGAGTCAGCGTTTTTCAACTCATGATTTTGAAATGTTTGCACACCCTGTATGGACTTTTCTCATTTTATTTGATGAAAAAAAAATATGTTTTAAAGGAAAATATAACGTGTGTTTTGTAAATATTAAGGTAGTTCCGTATCAAACTTAATGATTTCCAAAGCATAAGAATTTCTACACAATTTTTTTTAGCCTTTTATAGCCAATGACGATAAAGTGTAAAGCCCGGCGCTAGGAACTATAGCCCGACTGTATACTTTTTTATAGCTTCGTATAGCCCGGCTATATGATTTGTCCAGCTTTCTACAGTCAGCTATACAGGGTGATGCAAAAGTCCCTTCCACCCCTTCTAACTTTTTACCTAATTGAGGTAAATATTTGAAACTTGGGGGATATTCCTAGGTCAAAGGAAGCTACTTTTTGGCCCCTCTAAAATTTTCAGAGGGGCCCCCTGGGGGGGGGGGGGCA